AGTTTGGACCTTGACTATACCTTGACCAAGAAATTTGGACCTTGACAAAAAATAATTGATTGCCCCTGATTTAGTGCATTTTCATGGCAATTTACCCAGGGGTGAAAGTAACATTCAACACTTACTGGTAGGGGGGCCAGCGTCTCAGGCAGAAGAGGCGGGGCTGAGGGGTCAGCCTCCCCCAGCCAGCCCATCCGCTCTGCCTGGCACACACCGACCAGGGCTCCAGCACCGATTTAAAGGGCCCAGGACTCCGGCCACTGCTGCAGTAGCGGCTGGAGCCCCCGAGCCTTTTAAATCTCCAGACCCAGGGCAGCTGCTCCTTTTGCACCCCCCCATCAGCAGCTTGGCCCGGCCCATACCGGCTTACTGTCACCCCTGAATTTACCATTAAATACCATCTTATTACTAATTATTCAAAGTTAGGAGCTGCAATCTTCACGTAATCTACTGCTTGCTAAAAGGTATAACTTTAAAGAGTCTTTAAATATCTCTAAAAGAAAAGGAGTACTTGTAGCACCTTAGAGACTAACCAATTTATTTGAGCATGAGCTCATGCTCAAATAAATTGGTTAGTCTCTAAGGTGCTACAAGTACTCCTTTTCTTTTTGCGAATACAGACTAACACGGCTGTTACTCTGAAACCTTTAAATATCTCTACATCACCAAACTACCCTGAGACTAGAAAAGGTACATTTTGATGGGAAAAGTAAAGGCAACTCTCAGAATTCTGGGTCCGGCTCTCTGTATTTTTATTTTGTTTAGCTGATCAAATCTGAGTAAAAACAGAGGGAAACAGGTGTTCCATTGTAAATACTTGTCCCAATGTTACCAGCGTAAAATCTCAAGTGCTGTACACTTGGGGCTGATTCTTATAATGCTGCCTCTAACTTTCTGTGGTATGGGTGAAATCCACCTATTAGCAAAGAGCCTGCATGCAACCTCCTGAGCTAGGGAAGCCCTGCAGCTCCCCTATATGGATGCAGGGATATCTATGCCCTGTGAAGCAGGGAGGTGGACTGTGTATCAGATCTGAATATACTGGCATGGAGGGGAGCAGCTAGGCAAGAGCCCAGTGGATCTGCCCATCTGCAGATCCTCTGGCCAAGAACTCTCATCTAGGAACATTGCAGCTCTATGGCATTCCCCTCCCTGAAGCTCTGTGAACATTCAGCATCATAAAGTTTTATGTGGGATTCAAGAATTTCTCATCCTGAAGTAGCAGTCATAGTAAATATGGATTTCATAGCGTGAGCTGTGCACGGACAATTATAAAGACACAGTAATTTGTGTCATAAATGACTGTGGAATACAAACTGGGGCCCCGAGCTACAGACAGTGCATGGAAAATGTTGCCCCCAGAGGATTGCTGAGATTTTTATGCCTGGGATCTGGCTTGATTTTTGTTGGATTCTGTAGCTCTGGGTTGTATCTAGAAGAAGAACAAGAAGAAAAAGAGAGAACTGTGGTATCTCCTCAGCAAAGTATTTCACCAAAACATTCCCCAAACGATATATTATCCTACTCTTTCCCCTGATTTTTAGGTTAGAAATCACAGCCTGTCTTTCCCTGTATATTATCATCCTACAGTAAAATCCTCCATTGAAGTCAATGGCAAAACTCCTATTAACTTCAGTGGAGCCAGGATTTCACTCCTGCTTGGTAACTGATAACCCTGTCTAAACACTACTTTGATAGCTTTCTTAGCATATTCGTTTTCCCAGAAGGCCTGTTCCCTACTTTATAAACAAATAGAGAGGCCTGATCTAAAGCATATTGAAGTCTATATGTTTTCCCACATATTTTAGTAAGGGTATAAACCAGCGCTTTTCAAGATCTCCATGGCAGGTGGTTATCTTCTGGATGGGGAAGGCGGGGAGAGACAGCAGTGTTAATGTGCATTTTTATTAATGTTATTGCTCTCAAGAGTGAGTGAATAATAATAGTACTGGTTAGAGCCAGGTGTCATGTAGATATCAGTATTGTATGGTAAACATTGCCAGAATCCTGAGTAATGTTAACCTGACAGGGGTACGGTAATGCACAGATTTTTCATCTCTGGATCTGTGCAAAATTCCACATTATTGCTTTGTGGATTTGCACAGAGAGACTATCACAAAATTTTACCACCCAAAAATTTGTAGTTTTCAAAATGCCGAAGTGTCACAATTGTGACATCTACAGCTTGGTTTGTATGGGAAGTGATGTTTATACAAATCCAGTAACTGTGCATGCAAATAATGAATCTGTATGTTAGAATGCTGAACGAGATGAATGCTTCCGACCCTCTCATCTGGGAGAAAGAGAACCTCATACTGCTAATGTAGGGATGATAATGGGTCAAATGCCACAATCCTTACTCAATCTAGACTCCCGCTAAGTTCAGTAGGGAATCTGCCTAAAATCTGTTGGTATAATATGGCCTGGAATCAGGCCCTTGAATAATACAGTGGCAGGAGTGGAACCAATGACTGAAATAACATTGGTGCTAAATTATAAAAGCATGTTAAGACCCCCTAAGTTGTTACTGTTTGGAGCTTTTCAAAATACAAAAGGTCGTATTTTAAATTGTACTCCTCTGCCTAAAGTAGTCTATGTTCACTCTTTTGCTTCTTCGATTGATAACTCTATTTTTTCTTGTACTTTAAGATTCAAACTAGTTCATGATCCAGAATGCTAGGCTACTCTATTGCTCTCAAATAAGCTGATCATAGACAGAGAGGAATTACCATATCAGAGCAGACCAGTGGTCCATCTAGTCCATTATCCTCTCACCAGCAGTGGCCGACACCAGATGCTTCAGAGAAAGATGTAAGAAACCTCCTATTGGACAATGATGGGATAACCTGCCCAGAAGGAAGATTTCTTCCTAACCTCAGACAGCTAAGAACTGGTAGAGAGGGCCAAAATTCTGAACCTAGCTATTTGTGCCCCTGAATATTCTGCTTAGTTTGCTCCCTATCTTAGATAATAACCTGGGACACATTGAAATAGCATATGAGTGCCTCACAATCTTTAAATGATACCTCACAACATCCCTGTGAGATAGGGAAATGCTATTGTCCCCATTTTACAGATGGGGAACTAAGGCACAGAAAGACTGAGTGAATTGACCAAAAAAGTTAGTGGTGGGACTTGAACCCAGGTCTCTCAAGCTCTAACCACTGGACCATCCGCCCTCTCTTTACTAAAAGCAGCAAAGAGTCCTGTGGCACCTTATAGACTAACAGACGTATTGGAGCATAAGTTTACATGGGTGAAGACCCACTTCATCAGATGCATGTAGTGGAAACTTTCAGAGGCAGGCATAAATATGCCCTCTCTTTACTGTTAGCATAAAAAGTGCCAAGATGCCAGAGACCATGGGTCAACAAGAAAGGTTTGAAATTCCTACTCAATGTGTTTTGATTCAATGACAAAAATCTAGTTTTGAAAAAATCTATGTAATAATGTTCCCCAACAAAGGACATATAAACCAAGATTTTCAAAAGAGACTAAGGGAGTTAGGGGTGTGCAAATCCCAGCCGTAATAGTAGTAATAATAATTAATAATAATATCTAGCTCTTATCCAATGCTTTTCATCAGTAGATCTCAAAGCACTTTACAAAGGAGGTCAGTATCATTATCCCCATTTTACAGATGGAGAAATTGAGGCACAGAGAGGGGACATGACTTGGCCAATGTTGGCCAGTGGCAGAGTCAGTAGATGCAAGATCTCCTGAGTCTGATTTTGATGCTGTATCCACTGGACAACACTGATGCAGATAATTGATATTATGCAAATGTCTTGGCAATACATAGAGAGTAATGAATACAGCTGGTCAAAAATGTTCAGTGAAACAATTTTTCATCAGAAAATGTGGTTTGATTTAAATTAAAATGTTTTGTAGGAAAGGACGGGAGCTGAAACTGCTCTCAAGTTTGTCTACATGAACAAGAAAACCTCGGCAAGCTGGGGTGTGAATCTAGTCCATGCTAGCTTGCCACAGTCTAACAGTTCATGTGCACCCCACTTTTGTGCATTAGCTGGTCGTTAGAGTGCTTTAATCTAGTTGTCTTTGAAACAAGACTAAATCAAAGCACATTAGCGGACTGTTAATGCGCGTCAACAGGATGCACATGAAGAATTAAAAGGCAGCAGCGAGCCCCCTTCAGTGGCCCAACACACTACCTGCACCCGGGATGCCTGTCCCAACCCCTTGAGGTTGTTTACAGCCCCAGGGTGCTGCTCTAAAGATGTCAGAAGAAGACTCTTCTCTCCTTTAGTAGAGTTGGTGGCACTGTAATATTTCAGGGGTGGGGAGTGAACTGATGCGGTGCATGTACCTTCAATCACAGTGGTTGGGGTGAAATGTTTTTCAACAATTCCAACTCCATTATGTTAAATAGCCATTTGAACTGGACCTTGGATATCCCGAATTATCTCCAGAAAGGCAAAGAAATGGTTAAGCCACCATTATTTGGCTGATTGCTTTGTAGGTGAAGTAGGACACTCCATCCACTTCACATAATGTATCTAGTACTACTTTGTGCTCTGCATTCGTTTGTGGAATGTTTTTCTCTCTGCTGCTCTGGGTGGATAAATATTCCAGTTTGCAAGGTGTGATTTCCACTTATGTTATCTGTACAGCTGGCCACTTGCCAGCTCCCAAAGCTACATGTACCCAGAGCAGAGTCAAGGAGTAGACTTGACATGTGCACCCAGCCAAGCCAAGAGGCAACAGAAATTGTGCACCCCCTCTTAAGGACAGGAGATTAAATGAGAAGCAACATCCACCCAGCAATGAAACAAGAGGCTATGAACTGTCTTTGAGACTTATTTGCCAATGTGGAAAGAGAGGGTCAAGCCAGTGCCTGGCACCTGATTGCCAGCCAGAGGAGGCAGGAGGTGCATCTCTAGTCACCTACTCCATATTTCTGAATCTCTGGAGGCCCCAGGCCATTCTGGGAGGCACAGTCCTGAAACTCTAGGGATTGTGTTTTAATGAGGCTCTATTACCCCTCCTGAGGAATCTCCACTGGTCCAGAGGAAACTTGCATCTTCTCATCCTAGTCCCCAACCTCTCCTCCTCTTCAGATTCCTAAATGCACAGAGCACACAAGCACTGGTCTGAGGAATGGGGGAAGGGGCAGAGGCAGCCAAGTCCCCATTCCATGTGAGAACAGGAATATCTCCCAACAATTGTAATCAGTAGTGAGGAGAAAAGCCCAACTGTTGCTTCTTTGCCTGGATTTAAAGTGCTCACTTCAGACCAAATTCTAGTGCCCAGTCACGCCCACTGACATCAGTGGAGTTGCATAGTTGTGACTGATAGGGGGATTTGGCCTTTATGGTCAAATTCGCCCCAGGCAAAGAGCTCAAACAACTATATACGCCACTTAAGCCCTAAAGACGTGATTTTAAGTGGGGCTTGAGTAGCAAATGCAAGGCCTTGCTTAGGCCATGTTCATGGGATTGAATGCCCCCTTTCCAATCCTGAGCAGCCTGCACATGCTCAATGGGTATCTCTGGCTGTGTTGACTTCATGCAGTGTTGCTTTGCACATGCCCAGCACATAACTTTCAACTCTATAGATTTGTTTAATCAAAACCAGGCTGTTTATTTCAAACCCAGCTGAGATGCTGCTCCCCACAGAGGACTATTGGCATGTCAGCCTTCAGCTTTCAAATGTCAGCCGTCTTTATTTAATCCAGGTTATATACATAAAAAAGAGAGAGAGATTAGTGGGTGCATTTTTTTTTAAAAGGAAGATTTTTTTTTCTTTCTCATTCTCCTATATCTGAGAAACAGCTGAAGCAATTTTCCTCATGCTCTGCAGAAATATGACGTGGGATTTTCAAAAAGGCTCAGTTTTGCCCTGGCTCTCCTCTCACTGAAATCAGTGGTAAAACTCCCTTTGACTTCAGTCAGAGCAGAGTTAAACCAATGGTGAGCACATTTGAAAATCCCACCCATTCACCTTTTGACAGAGAGACCAAGCACGGATCATTTAATCTGAAAAGGTGAATTGTTTAGAAATGTCTGACCAAGACACTGTGTATTTGGCAGCAAGCTGAACCCAAATTCTGCAACAAGGGCCCTAGAATCTACAGGACTCCATTGGAAATTGTCAAAATTCTGTGACAGCTGCAGATAAATTTTCAAAGTTGAAGGTTTCATTGAATTAAATTCAAAAATGAATAATACAATCAATACAGGAGCCCCTTGGTTGTTTATTTTTATATTATATTCTGTTTATTTCACATTCTCTTCACGTTTTCATATGTTAATTTCCATTTTTAGATATTAGAGCTAACAGCCACAGATGAATGAGGCAGTTCACACTCATTCAGGAGTATTGTATCAGACTCTCTGCAAAGTTAAGAAGATAAAGCTGACTTTATATTTCTACTCCAAGATTTTTAACGTTATCTTCAAAACCATGTTAGTTAGAAACTATTTTTTAAATGAAAGCAGAAATTCTACAGTGAAGTGTGAATGCAGTGATGTGTGAATTCCACAACAAATTCTGAGGCTATGAATCTCAGAATATATGGAGGCCCATTTATGAGATGTGAAAACTGGGAATTATGTCTAAAACTAGCATTTCACCCCCTTGAATTCTATTGTATGCATCCTTGCATATCTTACTAAAGATGCTAGTGTTCTGAGCTTTTTCTAGTTGCTCAAATCTATGGTATCCAGATGAAATGATCATACTGGCCTCCAAAAGAAAATATTTAACCCAGAGATGTCAATGGAATATAGAAATAATGGTCAAAATCCCAGAAGCCTGCCTTGTTTTTGTCTTTCTCCTTTCATCTCACACTTTAGGTCATGCCATCACTTACATGCTTCGGCCCAAACAGGCAATCGTTGAGTTAAGAACCTCCAGTTCAAAGTGAACCATAAACCTTAGTCTATAAGATAAATCATACAAATTACTTTACAGAAATAAATAGAACATTTGGGAAGGAGGTTATCTTATTGCCTTCAGTTTACATCTCTAATGACTGTAAGTTCACAAATGCATTCTGTCAAAAATATAAACATTGCTTTTATTATACCAAGTACAGATATTTATTACCAACATTTGCTGTATGGCTTGTTGGTTTAGAGAAAATATTAGACTTTGGGTGAGAATGTATGTATTTTATTATTAAATTCTCTAGACACAATGTTTGTAGCTGTGCAGGGCAATATTTTGAAAGCTTGATCGTCTTTGATAAGAACTGGTGAATTAATTTATGCAAAAGAGTAAAGAAGAGGGGCCAAGCCCTGCTAACCTTTACTCATGTGAGTAATCCTTACTCCCACAAGTAGAGACATTGACTACACATAGGAATAAGGATTACTTACCTGAGTAAGCATCTTTGAAAATCCTTGAATTCAATATCTCAGTTCCCAGTCTCCCACAAATCAGCATGCTTAGATTTTTTTTATATAGCATGATTATGAGATGTCTATTACTTACGGTCAGATGCTGATATCCTTGCTGACAATGAGTAGTTCCATTAAAATCAATGGATCGATCATTCCATTCGTCCGTATAAGTACTTATTTTTTGGTGGTACTAGCATATTGCTGGGGTACATGTGTTCTGTGATTGCAACAGTCATGAATATGATATGAGAAATGGGACAACGTATTGCATTTCCTGCTCATGCATATGTTTGATAAGCTCTTTGGAGACTGTAGTTGCAGCCAGAGATTGTTTGCTTCCTTCCCATGCTAATCACGGTGACTCTATTCTGTCAGTCTGTGTTATGTCTGGTAAAGCAATGACAAGGAAGGCACAACATAGACAAAACCATTTAAGCCGAGACATGTTTGTGAGCATATGTGTGACATGTTTACGGGCTTGTTTGTCAGAAGAAGGAATATGAACCCTCTGCCCACAGCCAAGCTGGGCAAATCAAAGGCAGAATATAGTAGAAATTCCAAAGCTCTAGCTATATGTGCAGATCTGCCAAAATGTTGCTCTTATGCAAAGCCAGAACCAGAACAGCGATGAGGAAGTCCCTGATAGAGACCCACCCAAGCTGACGATTTCACCTAAGATAATTTCATACATCCCAAAGTTCAAGGGTATTCGGAACAAGGTTTTTTTTGTTTCAGGTCAGTCTTTCTTTGTTTAGTAAAAACATGAGAATAGACATTCCGGGGGCCCACAATGTACCTCCATGGCTCAATTTAGGAGGGCCTCTAGACTATCAATCCTGGGTTTAGGATCCAGATCCAAGCACTGCTTGGACCTTGTTGTCATCTTTCTCAGGAATGCTGCTAATGGAGAACTAACCAGCATCTGGACTATAAAAAGTATATTTAGATTTTGTATAATTTAATTTTTTTATATAATTTCGCTAGCTAATATCAATGTTTATTTTTATTTTTTTCAATTTTTAAATTTTCACAGTTGGGCAAAATTATGTGATTTAAATTTTCTCAGCTGTGGGAAATTATGGGGAGATCATACAATAATTATTTAATGACTGTAGATATTGAGATTCAAAAAGTCAAAGCTTTATGACCATTACAGCACAAATTATCAACATCACATGTTAAAATATACAAAGTAACTATCCTTAAATCAAACTCTGAAAAGTTCTTGAGCAGCATTTTTCTTCCTTTGCCTCTCAGTAAATTTAGATGATCATCAATTAAAATATTTTTTCATCAGTTTGTATGTGTATGGCAAAATGGACATTTACCCACATTTACTGATAAAAATGTAATCTTTCCAAGCCTAAATATATTTATTTCTAGATTTTTAGTTAATATTTTCAAAAGTAGCCTCTGACTTTGGGGGGTGCCTCGGTTTCTGAGTCCCAAGTCTAAAGGGCTCAAATAGCAAAGACCAAAAAATGGGAACACACGAGTTGCATCTCAAATGTACTGCAGTTCAAATTTCAGTAACCCAGCTATTATTTGCCAGATGTAGATGATGAAAACTATAAGAGAAGCAGGCTGTGCTGAAGCCTCCTTCATCTGACTATTCTTAATGAATTACATAATTTTCATTCTTCATAGGATAAGGTGTTCCCATACGTTTTAATTTTCAAAGCAATGCTGCATTGAGGTAAAAATCTACACTTTGCACTAGTAATTTTCAGAATTATAAATTCATTATTGCCTGTGTTAAAACTGGCACATCTTAAAATACAGTTTAGGTCTATCCTAGATTAATAAAGTATGTGGATTTCTATATGGAGGATTACTCTTCATTGAAATCTACAATCTTCTGTAACATGAGAAAGATAGAAGTATGCCTGGATTATACCTGAAGAAGAGCTCTGTGTAAGATCAAAAGCTTGTCTCTTTCACCAACAGAAGTTGGTCCAGTAAAAGATATTACCTCATCCACCTTGTCTCTCTGGATTATACCAGTCATAATAAAGGGCAGGAACAATAATGCATTAAGCACGAAATTTAACTCAGGTGAATGTTTTAATACAGAAGTTTGTATAAGAACTAATACACAGACCATCTACAAAGCCTGTTACCTGAATGATAAATTAAAATCAAGCATCCAATAACAATAATAATGTAAAAGAATTTGTGAAGCTGTTTCCTAAGAACACCTTGGTTAGTTTCCAAAGAAAATAGATGTCAAAAACATTCCAAATCTCATGTGGTTTCATTGACGTTGGCTGGCTCAGAGCTCTGTATACAGAGTTTTCCCCAAATCTCTTAAAGGAAAACAAGCCTAATGAATTAGGGGCCAATCCTGTGAAGTGCTGAGTGCCTTCAATTCTTATTGACCTCTCTGGGATTCATAGATTTCTGGTCAGATCTCCTGTGTAGCAGAGGCCAAGAAATTTCATCCAACACTTCCTGCACCTATAAATGGGAGTTGAGGGTACTCAGCAACTCCCCGTAGGGGCTCAGCAACTTGCAGAATCAGGCCCCTATTTTGAATATTGTTTTTTTTTTAAATATAAATAATATGAGACAGAGATCCAGGTCTTGAAGTCCTTATTCAAGCAAAGTTCCTACATTGGAGTCAATAGTGTAAGGACTGCAGAACTGGGCTGATGGTCTCAAGTTTAGGGCCAATTCCTCCTCCTTGCTTTACTCATATGAGCATCCCCAGTGTCTGGGACGGAAAGTGCTCCTGCAAATGTTTCCTTACGTGAGTAATCATTACTTGCAAAAGTAAGACCATTGAGAGTATGTCTACTCTGAATATTAAGCCCACGTCTGTGAGAGGTGTGCAGGATTGGACCCTTCGCCCTTAATCTTCCCAGTTAGAACACTGCACACAAGATGTAGCAACAAACCAGATTTAGTTCAAGGTTAGTCTCAAGAACCCTTATCTGATCATGACAGTAATTTATCACCCAGAACCCATCATTAGTGTCAAGCTGTTTTATTACCCACTAACTTAACACTGTTTTACCAAGAGTCAAGTGTGATGTCACTCATGTTAAAGTAATTTACAGCTAATAGATCTGAGGACCTAGTCAGTGTTAGCCTGCTGGGTTCTTTTCATACTGACGGTTAGGAGTTCTTTTAAATTTTACCCAGTAGGCAAATTAGATAACATAAAGGAAGGATTGATAACAAAAAAAAAATTAGCACAAAATCCCTAAATATTCTTGGAGTGGAGCTTTTAACTTTAAATAGAAAATCTCATCCACGGCATGTTTTGCAAAACTGAAGTATCTAGTAAGGCCTAGGAGATAGTAATAAATATTCTGCAATATGTGACAGGAAATTTGTTAATGCTCTGGTCATGTAGCAAGCTTCTGCACATCAGCAGAGATAAATATTGACTATTCGGAGTTAAGAGTTCTTGCCATTCTGAATGTTAAAAAAACTACAGGAGACTTTTAAACCAGATTTTGTTGCAATAAATGGAGTCTGTTACATATGAACAGAGTTTTCATTTTCAGCTTTCTTTGTCTTTCCAGTCAATTCTGTGCAGTCTTAGGGTCAGCCTCAGTGCAGCCGATGTTTAGAATAGAATACATTTCCCATTTCCAAGCACTTGGTGTCTCTTCTAATGAAATCTCTTGCTGACGTCTCCAGGATCCATATTCTCAGCCTGCTAAATGTTCAGAGATAATCCCGATTAATGGGCATATATTCTAGGCAGTGCATGATGGTGAATTATACTTTTGGAATGAGAGTAAGGCCACCTCTGTCAATTCACCTTACAAGTTTCATATCCGTTAAAAACATCATAAATGACTAAATCTGCTATTATTTTCCCCTGAAAGTTCTGAAACTCAGGATCACTTTTATGATAATTTGCAAATGGACCAGAAGTTGTGAACCTCCCAAGACATTGCAGAAAAGCCCTAGTTAGGAAAGGTCTTTAAAGATTAAAATTTAACTGTTCTTGGAATCTCGGGTAAATATCTTGCTCTGACAACACACACCTGGACTGTAAATCATTGCAACAGCACGTTTGTCAGCCCTGTCAATAACTGTCCTGGTCTGTAAATTCTGTTTGATCAACAAGCTCTTAAAACACACTATTCATTGGTGACCTCAGCTTCAACTCACGGTAATGATTGTATGCAGATTAGCATAAGGTTCTGGCATAAGTGACCCCAGCACCTTGCTTTTAGAAATGATTGGCCAACCAAATGTTGAGCTGAAGATTTTTGAATACCTGGCGGAGGGTTTTGGCTGCTGAAAGCAAAGCCTGGTCCAGTTAAAGTGCGATGGAACAAACAGGTTACTAACTTTCTTTTCCTTCATGAGGAACAGAATTAGGGTCTGGTCCTACAAACACTTGAGCATGTTCATAGGTAGTTCCATTGGCCCTTAGTGACACATGACTCTCTTCAGTTTGGCTCTGTGGAATTGCAGGAGGGAGTTATTGGATGTTAAAAGTTGTCCACTAAGCGCCAGTTCCTGGCCCTGCCTCCATAGCCACAGAGGTGCGCCGGCCACTGAATTAGTGGCTCCACTACACATAGACAGGTTTCAGAGTAGCAGCCATGTTAGTTTGTATCCGCAAAAAGAAAAGGAGGACTTGTGGCACCTTAGAGACTAATAAATTTATTTGAGCATAAGCTTTCGTGAGCTACAGCTCACTTCATCAGATGCATGAAGTGATCTGTAGCTCACAAAAGTTTATGCTCAAATAAATTGGTTAGTCTCTAAGGTGCCACAAGTCCTCCTTTTCTTTTTACTACACATAGAGGAAGCAGGATTTAGGGACAGTCACCTAAGGTATGTGTCCACCTTGTCCGCTATAAAGCCCAGCTCCACGGCAGATCTGTGCATGTCGGCATGCAGGGATGGCATGGGGATCTGCTGTTCAGGTTGATCTTTCCATCCTCGTCCCAACCCTAGATGGCTGAATTAGATCCACATGGGCTATTTGCAGTTTCACAGCTACAGTAGCCATCACGGAGCACCTCTATGGCCTGGAAGAAGATTCTTTCCCCTGTGCACAGCCTGGGCTAGGGTCTGGATTTGGACCTATAAACAGAACTATTTCTATATTGGAACCCGTGCCTCGTACATGCCAGGGTGACCGTTAAAACATTGGCATCTGCCACATAGTGAGTGGTGTTTGGCATTAGT